GTTAATGGAAAACCTTAAGCGACCCGTGAACAAACGATGATTGCCCGATGTGTTGCCCGATGTGTTGCCCGATGTGTTGCCCGATGTGTTGCTCGATGTGTTGCCCGATGTGTTGCCCGATGTGTTGCCCGATGTGCAGCCCGATCTGTTGCCGATGTGTTGCCCGATGTGTTGCCGATGTGTTGCCCGATGTGTTGCCCGATGTGTAGCCCGATGTGTTGCCCGATGTGTTGCCCGATGTGCAGCCCGATCTGTTGCCCGATGTGTAGCTCGATGTGTTGCCCGATGTGTTGCCCGATGTGCAGCCCGATCTGTTGCCCGATCTGTTGCCCGATGTGTAGCTCGATGTGTTGCCCGATGTGTTGCTCGATGTGTTGCTCGATCTGTTGCCCGATGTGTTGCCCGATGTGTTGCCCGATGTGTTGCCGATGTGTTGCCCGATGTGTAGCCCGATGTGTTGCCCGATGTGTTGCTCGATGTGTTGCCCGATGTGTTGCCCGATGTGTTGCCCGATCTGTTGCCCGATGTGTTGCCCGATGTGTTGCCCGATGTGTAGCCCGATGTGTTGCCCGATGTGTTGCTCGATGTGTTGCCCATGTGTTGCCCGATGTGCAGCCCGATCTGTTGCCCGATGTGTTGCTCGATGTGTTGCTCGATGTGTTGCCCGATGTGTTGCCCGATGTGTTGCCCGATCTGTTGCCCGATGTGTTGCCCGATGTGCAGCCCGATCTGTTGCCCGATGTGCAGCCCGATCTGTTGCCCGATGTGTTGCCCGATGTGCAGCCCGATCTGTTGCCCGATGTGTTGCCCGATGTGTTGCCGATGTGTAGCCCGATGTGTTGCTCGATGTGTTGCCCGATGTGCAGCCCGATCTGTTGCCCGATCTGTTGCGATGTGTTGCCGATGTGTTGCCCGATGTGTTGCCCGATGTGTTGCTCGATGTGTTGCCCGATGTGTTGCTCGATGTGTTGCCCGATGTGTAGCCCGATGTGTTGCTCGATGTGTTGCCCGATGTGCAGCCCGATGTGTTGCCCGATGTGTTGCCCGATGTGTTGCCGTTTCTCCCGCCACACCCAAACACATTACCGTGGAACCCGCCCCGCTCACAAACGTATCGGCTAATCAACAATCAGCGGCAGGTCGCCACCGCAGGCCGCCATGTTGCATCGTGTCGCAAACTCCTTGCCTCTCTGCAAGGTGAGCAGCTGATAATGAGGGACGCATGAACACAAAACAACAACAATAATCACAAACAAGCCCCTTCCCTCGGGTTTCCTGAGTCACGCAGGACGGGGAGGCGCGCCACGTCTGCGCTCATCAACCTCTCTTTGTCTTTCCTGTGAGTTCTAAGCAGTAGCTGCAGGCCACTGTTTGCATGTTGCACCGGTGTGTGTTTGTTTGTTTGCATGCAGAGCGCGCAGCTCTCTTTGCGAGGGACTGTGTAGAGCAGTCTACCCAGCAGGCCCAGAACCACTGGGGCCTATCAGAGGCTGTAAATACTTTATGAGATATGATAGTGCAGCACAAACACTCCTCAACCACAGGCCATTAACCGTTTTCAGTGGATATGTGCCCTTTGGTAAAGTAAGAAATAATGAAATAAACAAACACTCCCTTCCCCCGGTGACAGTGCAGCTCCTCTGAGAACGCCGCGCGGCTCGACTGCTAATGAGAGCCGCAGTTCGCTTCCTCTACTTCACCAAAATTAAATAAAAAACTCATCGGCTAATAAAGCAGGATTACCAGCAACTAACTCCTAAAGTCACTCAGGGTCTCTTTAAATCCTGCAGGCAGGGCCACGTCCAGCTTCTCCTCTACGGGGCTCAGGAGGGGAACTGCAGTCTCAGATAGGATCAACATTTGCACAAATCTTCACACTGAAACAGTTTCTGTCCAGTTTCTGGTGCTAATATCAAACAAAGCTTTCAAGTAACTTTTCAGAAATATATGGGAAATTAATTTAGCTAAATAATCTCTTAATGTTGATAACTAGAACTAAAACTTTTTCTTCAATATTTATGTAATATAAGCTCCTAAATCGTCTGAAAAGTTGTTTGTAACTTAGATTTGTCTTATATTGAGAGTACTAAAATGTTTGAACTTACAAATTTACTTGGCAGGATTTTTTTTTACAGTGCATCTTCTATTTTCTACTGTCACATTCTTATGAGATAGAAAAGAAACAATAAAAACGGAGTAATTGCATTGTAAAGGACAAGAGGAGCATTTCAGAACTGCTGGATAAATTGTTCTGCAGGCTGAAGCCACGCCTTTTCCTGCAAGTCCTGATCGAATCGTCCAAATTCCTTCTTTCTTTGTTGAGCTTCTTCAGAAAAGATTGAAATTTCATCTGTTAGCACTTCACAACTCTATCAAGAATCGGCAAAGAGCAGGGAGAGGCCGCAAACAACAAGAGGCAGGATGCAGTAATTCAAGTGCGGTTTCATCATTCAGTCTAACTCGGTGTCAAGAGCTGCCCTCTTGTTCATAATAACCTGCCATTGTGTTGTTTCCAGTTCGTTTTTCGGCTCAAACAAAGCCCGTTTTTGTCCCGCGCCGCGCTCCCTTCGTTGATGTGATGTCACTCGCTGTGACAAAAGCCGTTTTCTTTTGTGCTTCTCCAGATTTTCCTCTCGGAAAGCGTCGGCCTCCCTCTACCTGAGGACACAGATGCGCTCAAGTCGAAAGCCGCTCTTTAAGAGCTCCCCGCCTCACTTTATCTGGCAATTAACGAACTGTAATTGCAATCAGAAAAGATGCAATCCTGCGGTAAAACTGGATACTGGAGCAGACAATGAGGGAAAGCATCCAGCTGCTCGCACTCAGAGAAAAACGCAAATGCCGGAGTCTTGATTAAGTATGCGACTGGAAGGTTGGCGCTTAAGTGGAGATGGCCTCTGAGGCCGCGGCCTCTGGCTCTCTAAATGTACACCACACTCTGATAATCCATTCTTCTTCTGCTATTAGTCGCTTTACGAGCTCAAAGGACGAGTGGCGCATCAATCACCGGCCTCTAAAGACAAAGTGGTTTGATCAAGCTTTGTATTTACATTTGATCTCCACTCACTCAGTTTCTTTTTTTGTGGCTGTAATCCTTTTTGTCCAGGACTGAAAGTCAACCTTTAGCCGCGGAGGACGTATGTTGCAGAATCTCATTTGGTTGGATGACTCTATCCTCCGCGGAGACGCCATTGGAATGCAAAGCGCCGAGTCCATTCAACTCCCAGCACAAAACCGCCTTTCTTCCCCCCGCTCCGTCTCCCTGACCTTGCCACGACGCTCCACAATCGCCTCAATTACAGTAGATTGGAAGAGGAGGCCGATAGCTTGACTTCCGCTCTGCTGCATGTAAAGCAAGCATTATATCGGCAATTTCTTGTACACAACCCAAATCCCCCCCAAAGCTTCCCTGCCAATGATATCTGGGTCGACAGCGAGTTTTCATGAGGCCGGACCGGATAATACCTTCAGAGGAAGTTATGTTTGACTTGATGTGAGCAGAAATGACACGAAGCAAGCAGCCAGTGGAAAGCGAATTGGACAAGAAACGACAAACAAAGCCTGAGGATGGATTGAAGGCCTGAACGACAGCATGGCGTCACCAGAAGACGGGCCGATCCCTGAAGCTCAAAATGGAGCCTTCGTTTGGCTCATCTTCGTCATGCTTGGTTTATACAATCGTTTTTATGGGAAAAAAAAGGGTTACAAATGCACAGCCTGACTACAATATCTGGTTTAAAGTTTGTTAGCAACCTGCAGAAAAAGAAGACTCTCCTTGCTCGACTTGTCAGATTTTTGTTTTTGGCAAAAAACAACGAGCCGTTTCTCCTGCTAACGCTAGGCTAGCACCTTTGATTTGGTTGTATTTACCCAGAATGCCCTGTGCTGCAGTCCACTTCCTGCTTTTGGAGCGGTTTCCGGTCTAACTATTAAATAATACAAGAATAAAGTCTCAATATTTCCAGAATTAAGTTGTAAATTTATTGCAACTTCTACAGGAAAAGTAATCTTGAAATAAGAAAAACAAGGAAATAATTAACTTTTTAACAGATCAGCATCAAATTATTAACAGTATCAGGACTTTGCGAATCTATTTTGAGGAAAGAAAGGAACATACTTGAAGAGTTGGACTCTTTCAAAGCTTATTTCTCGTAATTTTTGCAACTTTCTGCTGATATTGTGACTTCGTTCTCTTAGTCTGGCCCTAATGATCTGTCGTACCCCTCTTCACACAATATTGTGAATTTCTCCAAATTAATACGAAAAAGTGCTGCATTTCCACATATTAATGGAATTTTTCAACCACTATTTTCTGAATAACCCAAAGTTAAAACCAGAAAATTATATAAAAATGTCTCAGCTGAACCATATAGGACAAAAACCACAGACTATTACACCCAATATGTTGGTTCTTTTTTGCATTTTGAAACTAAATCCAACAGTTGTAAATATGCAAACTGTTTCAAAGTTTAAGACGAAGCGCTTGCAGACGAAACGCGCTGCTGCAGCTGCTTTTCTGACGGGAAGTTTGGCCTCCAACAAAAGAGCTGTCAGCTGAAATAATGGCACGGATTATAAAACTCCAGAAAGCAATTCAACCGAGTGAGGAGAAAATATGTTAGTTGTTCCCACTCAGCTGTGTCTGAAGTTTGGAGCTGGCAAAAATAAAATAGAAGAAATAAATAAAAGGGATTGTAGAAATATTGAGTAAGGAAGACGTCAAAGTGTCGAGGCACGTCCACATCGGCTGACACAAAAACAGTTAAAACCAGATATTTACGTTCACCCAATAGAAGACAACTCTTCAAAACAAACAAAATTTGAAATTTGTATCATAGATTCACTAGAAATCAAACAAATTTATATTTAACTTTTTAAATTAAGTTTAAAAACAACAAGAAAATGTAATACAATAATAAAAAAAACCTTTTCACTTTGTTTTTAAATACCAAATAAAAAATAAATAAAAGTTGAGTCAAGGGAAACATGCAGAGATTTACCTTTCCCACGTACTGCATGTCCGTCCCAGTATACTCCTCCAGCAGAAAGAACTGGTTCCACATCCAGCCCCGTTTGGAGCGCCGGAGCGGGACTCCGTTGGCGTCCTGACCCGTCAGCCCTCTCCGCCCCCCTGTAGTCCTTCGCAGCGCCCTGAGGCTGCAGCCCGGACAGCTGAGCTGCACCACGGCCCACAGCATCATAAGAGCGCAGAGTCTCCGCCGATCCATAACCACAGCAGCAGCAAGCCTCAAACCGCGCCGCTGGTCCGCGTACGCCGCTTCCTGGTCAGAGGATCAGCTGACCTCTCATGCTGCGATCTGCTGAGGCAGGACTCGTGTTGGGCGGCAGTCAGTCGGCGCCTGGAACCAAAACACAGAAGCTTAAACTCAACTCTGACGTTTTTAAAGATGAAATTAAACAAAAATCAAGTTCAAAATGTATCAGCTTTCCTTAAAAAAGATTAATTTCTAGTATAATCACAATAAGACAAAAGTAACTTACTAGTAACTTTCCATCAACAAAAAGAAGTTTAAGTCAATAATTTCTTAAAACTGATGAAAAGGCACCAATTCCAGTGGCAGATTATTTCACAAAATAAAACCCCAGGCTCAACGTTTACATTCTGTCAAGAAAATCCGAGATCATCCCGCTTCCCCATGCTGGAGATTTTAGTTAACAGTAACAACAATTAAAGTTACCTTTAAAATAAGTCACACAAGTGACATCTAGATCCAACAGTAGACCCAGACTGCAAGAAAGTAAACCTGGTTGTTTTTGTCTCCTGCAAACTTTGCTTTCATTATACTTATTTTTCTATCTAATCATAAGAAATCATAGTCAGAGAGAGAGATATGAGACAGGAAGAGCAGGTTTCCTGGAAAAAGAGGAAGTTTCCAGCTTGTAGCTATAAAAATAGCTGAGACTATTCCTTGTTTAAAAGCATAAAGTTTTAAAGGATAAAATCTAAACATTTTGAGTAATTAGATAAGATTTAAAGTAAAGTACTGATATTAATATTGGTTTAATTATAACAATACTTACTGACACTTGTGAAAAACATACAAGTAAAACAAGTAACTGTAACTTTGGTATCAAATAATAAAAGAGTAAAAGTTTGGTTATCATAAAATTATAAATTAATGCTAAATTAAAGAAACTAAAAGGGTTTATGAATGTGATTTTAACATTGAACTTGAAATGGTGTAAAACATGTATCTGCTATTAAAGATCACTGATGATGTGTTGGAGGTGGATAGAAGGTGAAAGGTCAGGGGTCAAATGGGGACTAACGGAAAAGCAGAGACGACCAAGACCTTATTAGGAGATAGCTTTGAAGAACTTAAACGTGTCAGAGACATGGGAGGAACATTGAGCAACCCTGAGACATTAGCCAAGACATCAGGACAAAATGTCTCTAAGACAGTGATGGATATGAGTTTATCTGTCCAAACAGTTACCCAATAAAGCACAGCAACAGTGTTAGCCAATGAAAATGCACTGAAAGCAGGTATAAACCCTATATAAGGGGAGAGCAAAAGAGGAATCATTGGTTGGATCCTCCAGGCAGCTTCGAGTCAAGACCGAGATGGACAAAGAACTCTGCAGCTGAAGAAGAGCCGGAGACACAGGGACGAAGACTGTCCTCACATTTGAACTGCACCAGAGTTCACTTCAACCGAACCAAGCAGAGTTTGTACAAGTTCAACTATTAGATTATTTCTCTTATAACATTTTCCTACAACAGAGATTTAGGGACATACTAAAAATAAATGAGTAAAATTAAATTTGTAAAATTAGGAGAAATTTTTTAAAATAAAAATAAAGTCGGAGAAAATACAAAAATAAACTTGTACGGAAATAAAGATAGAATGGTGGGAATAAAGTCATAATATTTACTTTATATTTCAAATTAAAGTAAGCACAATTTGTTTAGTTTAGAAGTAAATCTAAGAAACCTTAGATTTACTTACAATAGTAGTGAATCGTATTACTATTACCATGATTTTCTAAAGGTAATATTACTATTACAGGAAAAACTAATAAAAATTAATATTCTTGTATGAGTTTATTCTCGTAATTCTTATTTTTGTTTTAGTGTCTCTAAGATTAAACTGCCTCTGGAACTAAAACTTTTTCATTAATATTAAGGAATGAAATATCTTGCTGAAAAGTTAAGTTAGGTTTGTTTTATTTCAGGTGTACTAAAGTATTTGCAGTAGAAACTAGATGAAAATACTTGGTAATATTTTGTGTTTTTGCAGTGTAGCTCTTCTCTCCTGCTCTCCTCTTCAGTCCGTCTGGCTCCACTCCTGCTTGCAGGTCAGGGTACTTAATTCATGTCCGGAGACATCCTCCCTACATGCCCAACATGGCACACCCGGACTGAACAGGCGCGATACGGCGGAGCGTTGGAAACGCGCCCCAGCTGATAACCCTCCTCCCAAACCGCCCAACCTCCAGGCAAAACGAGAACAAAACGAAACCCAAACTCCGTCCTGCATTATCCGTCTTGTTCCTTCTTCGTCTTCCACCTGCCATCTGGTTTCTTCCTTTATCTGCACAGGAATCCCACGGCTAACGCATCCAGTTGTGCAGCTTCTTAGTTTTGATTTTCTCTGCAGAGCTGGAACTAGTTACCAGGACAAACATGTTTTGTACGTCTGTATTTTGATGAAATTGCAGCAATTTGCATCATATCCTGTTGAAGTGGCAACAGAAACGACAAAGAGAAACCTCAGCAGCAGCAGCAGAAGAAGAAGAAGAAATCCTCTGAGGAAAAACCATTTGCTGCTTTTCAGTTCTTCACTCAGCTAAGATATTTATTTTACAATATGAGAAACGCGGCTTTGATCACTGCAAAAACACAAAATATCACCAAGTATTTTAGTTCCAGTGCAAATATCTTAATTCATTTGAATCGAGACAAAACTAAATTACAAGTAACTTTTCAATAGTGATAAAAATGTCCTGGTCCCACTCAGATTATTTCACTTATTACATGGTGAAAAGAAGTATTAGGGTCTAGAAAGCACAAATAAATTATCCTTGGAATTAATTTAATTATGAGAATAAACACGCACGCTTAATAACTCGAGAAAAAAGTCTATATTTTGACTTCATTTTTGTGTTATTTCAACTATTCTCTGTTTTTTAAAACATTTTTTTTCAACTTTATCCTTTTTTTTCATTATTCTTACTTTAGTTTGCTCTTATTTTTTAGGGTTAGGCTTAGGATATTCAGCTATTCTTATGTGAATTTATTCTCATAATTTTACAACTTTACTAAAAAAAATTTAATATTTTATTCTTCTATTTCTTAGATTTTATTCTTAGAAATAATATTTCAAATATTCTCTTACACGTTTATTTATGTAATTTTACAACTTTCTTCTTGCACTTTTGACTTTTTTTCTGCAACTGTGTTCTGATAATCTTATTTGATGTATTTATAGTTTTTCTTATTATATCTCTTTGGAGGAAAACATCTTATGTGAAATAATCTGCCTGCAGAATTAGTCATTTTTTGCTATTCAAATATTGACTTAAAACAAATTTAGATGTTCTCCTGAAAAGTTTCTTGCGATTTAGTTTGGTCTCATTTAAAGTGCACCAAGATATTTGCACTGGAAACCAGACAAAGCATGTTTTTGCTGCTTGTCACGTCTCCACAACAGTTTCTTCTCATATCTAAAGAAATCTGTTCGCGCCGAGAAGAAAAACCAACAAGCAATCTCACACAGGACAACCGCTGAGATTTAAACTCGCAGACGCCTCGCCACACCGACTGGGACAGCTTTGTACCAACTTCTGTTCAGGGAGGAGGTGGTTTGATGTCGGCGTCTTTGTAGGCCGTTAAACAAAACAAGCTGCATATTTCACCGCCGTGCCAGTCTGTCAAGCTGTTTACAGCGGTTCAAAACATAATGGAGAGTTTGATGCACTTGAGCGTTTTCAGCTGTTATTATGGCTCTGGTTTGTTCCTCCAGCAGCGATTTTGAAAGACGTTTTGACTGTCTTTGTTTACTTCACACCCACAAGCCCCATTGCAGAGTTTACCAGGGGCACAAAGTCCAACGGCACCTAAAGACGCTCCAGTCGGGTTGTGGTTTTTTTGGTTTTTTTCTTCTGTTGCTGCTCCGACACGCCCATTTAAAGCAGAGTGGACCTTCAGAAAAACTACAACACGAGACACAAAAGGGAGAATAAAAGAAACTCAGAACAGTCACTGATGGCAGAGGGTTTAGTTTTCTTTGTGCTGTAGCGTCTGACAAGGGTTTTTCAAAGCTAAAGCACAGCTGCTAACTGGTGCTTTCGTGCAGCACATTCCTGATCTTCCAAGTGAAGAGACAGAAATAAAAAGCAATGCATGTTCAAACCTCAGAGTTTTACACCCCGACTCAATATCTTCAATCATGTAAAAATGGCTGCCAACGGATGTGGTATTACACAACTGTACATCTTTGAAAAGCAGAAGTGGAGCCTCCTGTACAACCAAAAAAACTGATGTCTGGATGTTAAGTTATTTATATTTATAACTTTCTTATACTTTCTTCTTCAATATTGAGGAATTAATTACTATTTATTGCTAAAAAGTTACATGTAAGTTAGCATTGCTTTTAAACGGCTCTGACGGCTCGTTAGGTGACCACCGCATGGTGTATTTATGTTTCTATTTATTTATCTTTGTTAATCTGATCTGTACAGTTTCTGAAAAAAACAGACGGTGGTTTGGGTTTGGGGAGATCGAAGGTCTTGAACTAAATGTAGCGAAACAAGCCGAGCGAAATGATCCAAAAATTCCAACATGCAGTGACTGGCTGCTGCCAGGAAGACACAGGAAGATGCAATTTTATATTTTGTAGATTTTTTCTAAAGAAGTATGTTTTTTTTCTTTTCTTTTTATTTTATTACTATTTGTCCACTAGAAATTAGTCAAGAAATACTTTTGTGTTTTTGCAGTGCAGCTTCTCTGATTTCGGTCTCCGGCTCCTCTGCGGACTTTGCCGACTCCCGTTCCCGGCGTTTTGCCCTCCAGATGCACAAACAGGAACTTCAGCATTCAGGTGCTTAAAGTCAGACCATCAGATGTAGTTACTGTGACAACGCTAACGGGGGGAGAGGAGTCGGTTTGAAGGAGAGTTAAAAACGTCCCGTCAGAGCAGCGTCAGCAGCAGCGGGCCCATCCATTACCCGACCTGTCTTCCACAGGCAGTTACGGCTCGGCCCGCTTTCCCCTTAGGAGGCAGATTGAAGCCGGGCTGAGGCCCGCTGCCTCTCCTTTCCCCCTGCGCTGCAGTTTAAAGCTCCTCCCTCACATGCATTACTGCTGAAAGCCAGTCACTTTGCATGTGTCCTCTGC